CTCGCCGACCAATTCATTGGTACGGGCTGCTTTGGTAGACATGGTCGGCTTCATGCAGTGGTAGCAAAGTGGTTTTCGGTCGCACATTCGCATCACCTACGTTTTCCTCGGTGTACTTTGTTGAGCACAGTCCTACACACGATGTCGGGAATGCTTCGGCGTTAGAGTGTCTCATTGAATTGGCATTCAATACTAAGGGGCAGCCGGTGGCGGTCGTCGTGTCATTGTGGCGTAAGTTGCCCTTGGTTTGTCAGATGCCGCTTCGCTCGCAGAAGTCTCGGTTGAAATACCTGTCAAACTTGTTCTGAAACAATCTCGGCAATCGAAATAAAAGCCGGGCAACTGATGGCAGGAAGTAGCGTCCTGATCTCCTCCCAGACAACGTCGTGGGTGATGTCGTGGATGCCTGGGAGGCTGGCGTCGAAGTAGTAGCTGGACAACTCGAGTGTCGAGACGCCGGGAAGTTGTTCATAGTGGCAGGCTCGGGCATGCAGTGCACATTCCATGTTGGAAGCCTCAGTGATATGAACACTTCGACTGTTGTTGGGGGTTGCGGACAAGGCTGCCGAAGGCGTTGACCTCACGTGAGGCGCATGGGATTCTTAGGTTCTTGTCTTCTGTAGCATCAAGGTCGGCGTGGGCGTAGGCGCTCGATCAAGCGCAAAACATCCTCCACGAGTGCGGTGGCGCTCTCATTGGGGCAGTGTCCTGGACAGAATCAAGAATCCGGCTCTCTTTCGTTGATGTTGGCTGACGGATGCGCGCTTCAGCTTGATCTTGCCAACTTCCCATGACGTTAAGGAGGATCCATGGTTCTCAGACCAGCGCCGGCAGTTGCTTCCACGAGAAGTATAGGTTCTGCAGGAGCTGGTTGTCTGTCCACCCAATGTGGCGGGCGACACTGTCATATTGTTCAATCCAGTCCTTGACGTCTTCATACAGCTTGCGTGAAAAAGCGTCGGAGTGTGATTTGCGACGGGCATGCAAACAATGGTGGGAGGGGACACGGTTTGTGCTACAGGTTTGTCATTGTTGGCTTAGTCAGCTTCGGATTTTCTGACAGGAGACCGAATTCCGGTGGTTTTTCCTGGTAGCAGCAACTGGCTCGGATTTCAGGTGCTTCGTGGTGTATTTTCGAGGTTACTCCTTGTGGTACTCTGTCGTCTTGCGGTTGTTCTGCCAGGCTCGGGTCAGGACTTTGCCTACGGCTCGACAGGGGTATAAGACACAGAATAGTCCGCCAGCCGTGTCCCATTATCGGGTAACTCGGCTGAAGAGCCGCCGGGTTCACACAGAGTGAAGGGCTACGGGTAAAGTGCCCAGTACCTCCACCTGAACATACGATTACAGCTGAGCATGACCTGCAGTGTCCCAGAATAGTGAATATTGATAGAAGATAGGACTGGAACAAGGATCCGTGACAGTATAACAAAACTAGCAGAAGAGAATCTATCCTGACCACTGAAGAAGCTGCATTGCTTTAGTGGCATTCTGTCCGAATAAATCCTCTCCTTCGGGGTTTGGCGACTGCCGTGGACGAACTGAACTGAAATGGATGTGGGACCACTTTTCTGGTAATGAGCCACTGCAGACTGTTGCCACAAAGCGGCGTGAGCTGGGTACGTAACACGCTCGGTGAAATGTCCGGACAGCTTGCAATTCGCGTAACGAGTGTGGATGAAACGTTTGTGTTGACGAAACGTGCGACAGACCAGCGGGATCAATACCAACTGCAACACCTGTGCTCCGTGAAAGTGCACGTCTACGCCGGAACAATTTTGGAAGCAGCACAGCATCACCTAAAACATGGCACAGGAACTACCAGCTTGAAGGCAGCTCTTCGGTGCGCCGCACACCTGTGCTCCGTGAAAGTGCACTTCTACGCCGGAACAATTTGTAAGCAGCACAGCATCATTCAGCACGGCACGGGAACTACCAGCTTCAAGGCAGTCTTCCGGTGCGCCGCACAACCGAAGTGAGCCCTCGGTCATTTGATCGAAGCTGCACCGCGATTGCACACCGCCGAGCACGACTCAGGCAATTTCCGTCGCTAAACTGTGTATCCAAATATGCACACGCTTCACTGCAAACCTCGAAGATTCCGATGGTCAACGAGAGCACAGAAACGTCGCCTTAAATTTTATCCTAGCGGTATCCGAATCAATCCGAGGTCCGAGCAACGTAGGTCAGATTGTCTCTTCCGTGGCAATATCCCGGTCGGTCACCAGCGAAATGCACACCGTTTCTCCGTATTTTCACGTTATACCTACGTCAAACACCACGCTGAACTCTGAACTCGCTTTCGACCGGCCTCATATGACGGCTTCCGCGTCTGAAATCAACTCGCCGAGACGAACGACAACCAACAAAGCATCCGACAAGCTCCGGCCCAGCTGGGGCCAGCCGCTCCATGGGCGCTGCCATCTTTTGTGTGACGTCACGTATTTGGTTTGGTCATGTGACGTGTGGTCAAATTTGCGTACAATGGCAGCCTCCTTATGGGGGTCACTTTCGAGTGCAGACCGGAACCCCGGTTTATCGCTCTAAGCCCCTCTACCTCGTTGCAAATTATGAACTACGTAAGGCATGGTGCTAGTATTCAATGAGCTTATAAAGTTCACATAACATGCAAAAATTAGATGGTTATAATTATCGGAGAGTGCTGATTATTGGGCAAGTTTGTGCTGAATTTCAGAATACATGGCAGGGCTCGAACATAAGGACAAAACGAGAACTAGACACCATAAAGGCCAGGGACACTAAACTGATATCTGAAGTTTTCAAAATAAGCTCCGGGCGAGCTGCCCCGGGCGTTACTATACCTAAAAATCAAGACCATACCAGGGGATGGTGATCGGATTGAAGAGCCGCGATCCAACGAGTTTTTCCGCGATCGGGCAATCCGTCGGCCGGAACCCGCCGGTGGATTGACTCACTGATGAGATCAGTGGATTGACTCGATTGACTAGATTGACGCCACCTGTGGACGCCAACCAACGAGGTAGAGGGGCTTAGAGTGATAAACCGGAAGTTCGGAAGTGGCACCCCCCCGGTTGCCGCCATATTTTACGCAAATGTGACCACTCGTCACGTGACCTCCCAAGAGCCGTGACGTCACAGGTAAGATGGCAGCGCCCAGAGCTGGCGGATGCGAGTTTGTTCGGTGCGCGGTAGCCGTGATGTGCAGCTGCTTTCCGACGACTTCGGGCTTCTTCGTGCTCGCTGACGCAGGTATAATGTGAAAATATGAAGGAATGAGACTTTATACCGTTTTTGCGCAAGATCGCTCTGGATCATCTGGATATTAACGCCTGTGAGACAGCATCGCCGTACCGGTGCTCGGATTCCGGGATGTGTCCGAGGACCGATAGAACTTTGAGTGCTTTTAACACGAAATTTTCGCATTCTCTTAGCTTTGTTTGAACGTTGAAATATCTGAGAATCTACGCGAAATGTATACGTCGCGTTAGGGCCTAAGGGAAGTTGGTTCAGCCCTCCGTCACCGAACAACCATAGCAACTTTTAGCGAGGAAGCTCCTGCGATTCTTTTGTGCTAATCCACGATTCTACATTCGATCGCTTTTCTTCCTCTTTTTTTGTGTGTGTGTGAGTGCGAAGTGCACCCTTATTTTCAGCTACGAGGATGGCGTTTTACTGAGTATGGGGAAGAATAAATCGTTGCAGGCACCTGCCTCAAAGCTATTCGACTTGCTATAAGAACAACTGTTTTGGTGCATGCATAGATTAACTGCGCATTTTTTCTGTTTTGTAGGATTTATTGCAGCTATACTCTTTTCCATCAAGAGTGCATTGTATTAGTCGGTCAATTATTTAATTGTTCTAATTACCTGGGTAAGATGATTCATATTTGTGTTCATCCCTTGCCTGGAGAGCAGTCTTGTTGAAAAATGTTGACTACCATTCCTTTCGGTCTCTTCAATAGACTCTTTTTAAAAGTGTGGGCTGTCTATACTTCGCATCACCGTTACTTGGAAAAGGCCAACCGCCATAGCCCCCTCGAGCCAATCAGAGAGACGGAGCGAAGGTGTGTGACAAATCTGTGCAGACAAGCACTCTGGTGATATGCTGTCATGTGCCTCTCTCCAATGTGTGTATTGACTCACCGAGACGGTAGCCTTTGCCGTCTGCCAAATTCTGATGAAACAAATTACAGTAGCTACTATTGTAATTACCCCAAGCTTTCAGACTTTGGGCATTTGTTCGACAAGAATGTTATGTCCACCATCCCTGTGAATTCGGCTCAGCACGTATTGGACTCGAATGCTGTATTAGCGTTCGACGTGAACTGGGGCCCATTCGTGTGCTTTACGCCGAAAAAAATGGTGACAGTTGTGTTGCTTGATAAGGTTCTGCAAAGGGTCTATTGTGTCATACATATAGGAAGTGTCATGCTATATAACAATGCATCAACACATACTATTAAACTATATGCTCAGAGGTGTGTTTGTTTCTCCATTTAACAAGTTACAGCAGTGTGCTTTAATGCTATTATCATGTGTGTAGTTTTAAGTATCTTCTCTGCAATGCCTATGAAGGCCCCTTATCCCGGTCCCGGTCGGTCACCAGCGAAATGCACACCGTTTCTCCGTATTTTCACGTTATACCTACGTCAAACACCACGCTGAACTCTGAACTCGCTTTCGACCGGCCTCATATGACGGCTTCCGCGTCTGAAATCAACTCGCCGAGACGAACGACAACCAACAAAGTATCCGACAAGCTCCGGCCCAGCTGGGGCCAGCCGCTGTATGGGCGCTGCCATCTTTCCTGTGACGTCACGTATTTGGTTTGGTCATGTGACGTGTGGTCAAATTTGCGTACAATGGCAGCCTCCTTATGGGGGTCACTTTCGAGTGCAGACCGGAACCCCGGTTTATCGCTCTAAGCCCCTCTACCTCGTTGACGCCAACGCGGACGCCGCGGAGGAGTCCTAGCGGAACTGACGTCACAGACCTCTTGTTCCTCGCTCCTTGGCCTGGGTTGTTCCGCTGGTCCCGCTCCCGCTGAAGTCCGCGCCAAGTGTTCCTAATTCTGGTAGTTTCTTCAATAGTTATGCCGCGGTACTGCGCTGCACAAGACTGCTCGAACAGCGTATGTTACAGCTCCAGGCCTGTGCACAAGTTTCCGAGTGAGCCCACATTGCGCAAGCTGTGGATTCGCGCGGCCCGTCCTTCCCAACCAACATGGAAGCCCGCCAAAGGCGATTGTCTTTGCACGGAGCACTTCGAAGACAAGGACTACAAGACGAGCCCGAAGTTACTGCAAAGTCTGGGCCTGCCTGTAAAACAGGCCTATTTGAAGCCTGGCGTGGTGCCATCGCTCTTCACACGAAAACGCAAGCGAGAGCGGCATAGCGGCGCCGTGGAAAAACGGCGACGCAAAGAGGTGAGCGCGGCTACTGAAATATTTTTCTGCTTGTTTTCGAATGGAAAGCACGATTGCGAGTGGTCGTGGAATTAGCGTAGTACATAGCGCAACACTTAGCGCGAGCAAGCGAACGCCAATTTTTTGCTTTTGTTTTGCTGTCACGTAAAGTGGGAAGTGCTCGTTTGCGGCACTCGCCTGAGCGGTGAAGTATCGTGCCTGCTAACTCGCCTTTGAGGTCGAATGCGGAGAAACGCCAAGATCTTGTTCTCGCTAACAGCGTCGCGCAGGTTAAGTGTGTACTACATCCGTGTTCGCTCTCGTGCCCTTAGCCGGACGAAAAGTTGCCGCCAATCGCAGGTACTCCACTGTCGGTATCGTGTACATGGCGAGACTGCAGCTAGCTGCGGCGATGACACTCAGTACGCGGGCTCATGTGGCAGAAACTTGCTTTGAAGCTACGAGCTTGCGCTGGCACCTTTGGCTCTATTGCCAAGGCATTACTACTCATAAATGCCAGCTAATTTTAATTTGAGAAATTTGGCATAAACCAATAAATATTGAATTTTGGTTTGGGGTATCTGAAAATGGCACATAGGACCGAGTTGAACCATTCCTGGGAGAATGCGGTTAATTGATGATCTACATACTTCCTTTTGGTTTGCAGCTGGTATATTCCGAGCCTGAGCAGGATGTGCAAACTCCGTGGCGTCTTGAGCATGTGCTATTCCTCATTGTGGCGAATAAGGAGACGCTGCTAAATTTCGGAATAGGGATACTCACAGTATGAGTGCCACGCCATTTAGAAGAGTGTGCCTGTATACATCATTCTGTTTTGAAAAACTCATTTCCCTCACTGGTCCTCTCTTCCTGATGAGGTGGTCAAGCTGCTGTCGCTTCATGTGTTCACTGTTAACCTGGAAGGCAGTTTCTCTCAGTTGCAGGAAATAAATGAAAAAGAGCGCTGCAGTTTTTTTCAATGAGAACCTTGTTATGGTACATATGCATGTACTATAACCCAAAAACCTGCAATTATTGTTTCTGCCCCTCGTTTATATTTCTGATTGCTATGACAATATCAGTCATAGACCAACACGCGGCCCTGACGTCACGCAGCTGCGGTGGCGCTGTTAACGGCATTGCGCAGGCGCTTCACCTCACGTGAATTTGGTTTCTGCGCACGCGCAGTCCCCACACCTGGTGTGGGCAAATGTGGGCTTGTTTGTAAACAGTGTGTCGCTCTATAAGATCTTGTTTCGTCTATGTTCTTCCCATACATTGAATACATGCTTGCAATAATGGTTCAAGGTGACAAGTGCCGAGAATGCCTAAAAACCTGATGGTGTATGAAATTATATTGCAGCAAAAATCAAATCTTGTGCCAAAAATAGATGCTGCTAAACGCGTGCCAATTTAGAACAAAAATAACAAAAATTTTGTGCTGAGTTACTCTGTTTTAATCTCGTGGAATGTGGTGTTTATTTATAAAGTTCACTGGGAGCACCAGCTAGCCATTTATGACAGTTGCACCCCAATCAAGAGGCCATTACAAGCGCTTGTTCAATTTCTCGACTCGAGGCAAGGCCACTAGTTAACCTCGGTCGTCATTAGACCGTTTCATCTTAGCGTTCATGATTGCGCACTTGACGGTGCGATTCGCTTACCAGTTCGAGCAAAGTCAAGATGAAGAGGGTATACAGCAGAGTGACATGAGCCTAACCAAGATAAGGGCTCGGGGCAGTTACCCTTATTTGGGCCAAACCTGGGTGTTAGCAGCATATTGGCAGTGCGTTTGTTTGCATGTTGTAATTTTTTATGACTATCATTTATAGATAATTGCTGAATTGATGAAGGCACCGGCACAAGCAACGGCCACGTTCATCGCTGAAGAGGTCAGCACATCGTCAACCCCTTCTGCTGACGACACAGAGCAAGGTCCTGACCCTGGACATGAACTAATGCACGATGCAAGCTCTGGCATCGAAGAACCTTGTTCGAGCTCAGGTATGTGCGTTGGTTGAAACCACTCGGCTGACATATTTTAGTGCCTAACTCTGCCAAATTAGGGTAATCTAGTCTATTGTTGACTCCGTGAGCCAATGATGATTTTGTTTTGAAACACACTTTATTTCCTCTGTTGTGAACAGCCCCCTCCATCAGTAATGCCAAACAGGCTCAGCCTGACCTTCGGAATGCTGCTACGCAGACCTCGGGCATCTACAGAAATCAAGGTATGTATCTGCAAAAAGAAATTTCACAGAAGGCAGCATTGTTCAGATCATTGTAACATGTTATGATGGCACAGGTATACAATTCACCATGAAGACTTCATCACGACAGTCCCAAACAAGCCCTGTCCTCGTGACACCACAATGCTCCACCAAACCATGTCCTTCAGGCTCCATTGGATTGGATGTTGCCTGAAGGGCTGACGCTGTCGCCACAGCCGCCAGCGCCCAGACAAACAGCTCCACCACCAGACCTACCACAGCTGCCAACAATAGACAGTGAGCTGCCAAGTGCAGGCCGGGAAGAATCTGTTGAAGAGTGTACCACAGAGCTGCCAGGGCCACACGTGGAAGCAGACAGCCTATACCTCCCCTCTGACGCTAGCTTTCTCATGATGATGTCCGACACCGGCTTTCTGAGGTTGGTATCAGTCAGATATATGTCATTTTTAGTACAGAGTATGAGAGGGTGTGTGAGTAAAAGGTTGCTTCTTTTTTCTTTTCTTTTTTCATTCCAGGGATGCACAGCAGAACACTACATATGACAGTGCACTCAGTCAGAATGAGAGCAGCAAAAGCATTGACTACGTCTTGTAACGAAAGTTTATTGTCTTCGAGTTTTGTTTGGACAAGCTACTGGGTAATTGTCCGGAGTGCACTGCACTGTGCTGCATCACAGAGAAGAAGATCAAAGGGACTTGTCTCCGGGTGCACAGAATGTGCAACAATGGCCACGAACACACCTGGACCAGCCAACCATCAGTGAATAGGAGGGCTTAGGCAATGTGCTCCTAGCTGCAGCAACGCTCTTCTCTGGGAGCATCGTCAAAAAAGTGCTGAGGCTCCTCCGCCAGATGGGTGTGCCCTATTTCTCGTACGGGACATACTTTTAAGATTCAGGGTGCCTTCCTTTTACCAGCAATCAGACAGGTACGGCACGTTTCTTTTCCTTACCTGTGAAAGGGGTTTATTTTAGGTGCCAATATTCCAGGCTCAACACTCCTATGGGATCCTGAATGGCGTAGTACATGCGTTGGAAGCACCATATGTTTCTGTCTACAAGTCGCACAGTCCTATAAACGGCTGTTTTTACAAAAAGGTTGATATATACATGTTTGCAAGTACGGCTTCAGGGTGCCGCCATCTTGCCGAGTTGAGGTGTGCTTGGGCGCAGCCATAGTCTGATTACAGCACCTTAGCGAGTCATCGTAATCGAATTTGACGTGCCCCAGTGCACCCCAGCTGAGCAAGACGGCGGCTCCCCGAGGCCATACTTGCAAACGTGTATAGGTGGCACATCTTTATATGGACCGCAAGGCAAAACTGCATTGATAAGCTGTCATATGTATATTGTAATATAAGCACAAGTAAGAGCCAGCTTCAATGTTCTTGCAAACTATCGTAGGAAATTTGTTCTGATGTGCCAGCTGTAAGCTCTACTGGAAGCCAGCATATTGCCAAGGTTCTGATTGTAAGGAAAAGCTGATCCGCAGTACCCGAAGGCTACATCTAATGTATGTAGGTCTGTACGATGCAATACAAACTAAAGGCTCTGCCGATTTCCTTTGTTGTAACTGTTGATACGACCTTGCAGAGCTACAATTATACTTGTAGAAAAAAGCGGTATAAGTCGCACCTCTGTGCAAGAGGCACTGACAGAAATTTTAAGAAAGAAACAACTTGTATGCTGGAAACTATCTAAATAGGAGAGTTGAGATGTATCCTCTGCACCTATTTTTTACCACACTCCTGGGGTGGGAAGGTACCAACTGTGTGGGCAAAGCAAGTGTATACAGGGTTCACGGCACATACTTCACACTCGAAGACTCGCCGCATTCTATGTGGGTGAACCATCGCCCTACGTGTTTTTAAACATGGAGGCAACGTTTTCAGTTAGTTCTTATTCTCCTGCTTTGTGACTGATTGCACCTACTGGAGAAATGGGCAGCGTAAAGGACAGATTTTGATGTGGGGAATAAGTAAAAGAATCAAAAGTAAATGTTCCCCAGTCCGATCGTAAGATTAATCGGCCAGTACTCTATTTTTATACAAAGTGGCGTTTTTTCAATATTAAAACAAGCCCGCTCTCGAGAAAGCGGCTCCTCGGCAGCCAAACTGTTCTTGTTGAATGCTACGAGGGGAACAAGACCTGAACAGGCAGGGGCCTTAGCGACCTAAATAAGTCCAAAACTATGCTTCTTGAGTTTCAATACGAAAAATGTCAAAAGCAATTCATCAACTTGCCCATGCATGGGTAATAGAAAGTAAAAAGGTGTTTTGCCAATCTACCTTATAGTTAGGGTTCCGCATTTTTGGTTTCTATTTTTTCAAATTTCGGCATACTTTTTTCGGTGTTTATTTTAAAATTCAATTTTCGTTTTTTTTTCGGCGTATATTTATGTCCACAAACGTTTATCAGGATTTTTTTCGGTAAATATAAAATAAACATTAACGGACACTGGATCAGATGATCCTTGTAGCTCTGATATTTGTGATCACTCAAAGGATAACGGCACACTGGAAAAAAAGAAATCGACACATTTTTGGCAAATGTGTGCAACTGTAAAACAAACAAGAAAAACAGACGTACAAACAAGTCAGATATGAAGCCTATGCCCCAAAAACTTGGAACTTCACCTTCTGTACACCAGGATTACGTGAGCTTATAATAGTACACACACATGTACTTTTCCAGGTTGTCCTCATTGATCCGCACTCTTTCTTTCCTGTTAATATGACCCTGAGCTTCGAGAATGCACTCTCAACGCTAACAATGGACTCTGGCATGCAGAGGAGATGAAGCGCTGCCTGAGCCAAAATTGGCCAGTAAATCGATCAATTGTGACTGCCAAAAGAGAGACGGTGCGACGTTTTGAAGCACAACACAACATGCAGAGCTTGCAAGTCAGTTTTCCTTAAAACGAATTTGAAAACACGCTCGTACATGGCGAAGTTATGGGGAATTTCGGACTTCATGTTCCGATCGATGATGCGCACATTAAACCAAAGCGTCGTGATGGCATCCGTGTATCCCATACATTTGGACACGTTTCGATAGACACTGTTCCACTTTTTCGTCACGGCCCTGCGGTACGACTGGAAGGTCAAAGTGACCTTTACCGGTTAAAACTGAATTTTAAAAAAATGAATTTGACGTACAATTATTGGTTTAAATCGAAAATGCCGTACCTAAATCTGACCTTTTTCGGTTAAAACCGAATTTCCGAAAATGAAGTCGGCATACTTTTATCGGTTTAAACCGAAAACTCCGAACCCTACTTATAGTGCATATGTGCCTTCAATATTTTTACCCATGACTCTGAGCATTCCATCCTCTCGTATTTAAAAGAAGACTACCATAATTACAATTTGTCAATGCTGTGATCGCATTGGCTGGGATTCAAACTTAAATGCTGAACTTCCATGGACGTTCACATAAACAATAGAAGCTTACTGTATACTTATTGGTTAAATTAAAAGCATGTCCAGGATTTATGTTTGTTTACAAAAGCCTTTGCAAATTAACTTCCAGGTGTGGAACAAGAAACAAAACGAGCTCTTCGAGCAACCAAGGGGACGAGAACCGGTCCTTGCTGGTGATGGGCGGTCAGACTCCCGCGGGCATTCAGCGAAATATGGAACGTACACCGTCGTCGACGTTGTTAATGAACAAGGTTCTCCATGTGGAAATTGTGCAGGTAAATTGCCCCTGCCATAAATGTTATGATGCTTCTGTTCCTCTGAAACAAAACCTTTCTGTAATTAAGTGAAAATGAATGGCGAAAACATGTTTCAGACATGCATTGTCTCACTCAACAGCTCTAGTTATTCATGTTCGGTGTGACAATGCAATGTTCTATTTGTCGCTTCAGTCCAACGAAACAAAGGGCAGCTGGGCAATGGAGCTCAAGGGCGTGAAAAAGACCCTAGTGATTTGTGAAGCCAATGGATTGACTGTGAGAGGAATCATGACTGATCGCCACTCCATGATCAAGTCATTCCTTGCCAAGTTTTACCCCCAGATTTGGCACATGTTCGACTGCTGGCACGTTGCAAAAGGTGAGCCATAACTAATCAGGGTTCCAGGTTATGCAAAAACAAAAAATATTTAATTGCAGAATGCTCTTACCCTTGCCTGTCACTATACTTTGTTTCTGCGCATGTTGTACTGCAGGAAAGGCTACAAGTGTGAGCCCCTTGCTCTAGGCAACTGCTCGGTGGCACAAGCTCTCGTGCAGCAGGAGCAGCTGCCAAGGCCATGAGCTTGCGCTTCTAGTCTTCGCTGCGGTACAACATAAGCTGAAACATAAGCCGCGTTTACATGAATGCAACTTAGTCGCATCGAATCCAGTTGTCGCATTCAATGAGGTCATGTAAACGAAATAATGCACTAGGGGAGTGCATCGCATTCGAGTCGCTAGACAGAGGTGGATTGAGACGGCGAATGCGCATTTCTTCAAACCATGTAAATGGAGGTCGCATCGCAATTTGGATCGGGGAGGATTATGGGAAGGCGCCTGCTGCGGGAGCGAGTGAACAGCTGAGAACATGGCGGTGGCCAACCTCATTGGCGGTGGCAGAGTGCAGTCTCATGTGGTTGCCCGCAGTTTTCTTCAGAGAAGAACCGGGAGCTTTCATTGTCAAACTAAGTGAGCAGAATATAGCCGAGCTGCTCGGTGAGGGCGGCCCTCGACCAATCCTCGCGAAATATGACTTTCACGTCCGTCCGAGGGCGTCCCTAGACACTTTGGCGCAAGCGCGAACGATGCCGAGAGCTCCGAGCACTGGATTGTGGTGCAGAACGAGCAGCTCCTACCTCGGTGCCGTTCTTGGCTGCGCCGGAGCCTTTTGGCCTCGGGGTCCGATCGCGGTTGACAAGCTTTGACGAGGCGAAGCGAGATGGCGTCCCCAGGGCGGTTGGAAACGATCTGGCTCGCCAGGCCGTGTGCACCCTCGTTGCCTCTGATCCAGAGTGGTCTGGCAGCCCGAACCGGAGTCCAAAACGCTTGGGTTTTGATGTTTCTTCCATCCCATAACTTTTTGCACAGCATCGAAGACA